AATATATATATATATATATATATATATATATATGTACACACACACGCACACATAGAGCGAGCACGCGCGCTTGTGATCATAAATTTACCTTGTTTTCGGTTTCTCCGAGAATCTATGAGCAATAAAAAAACACATTACTGAAATAATTTGAAAATGAATAATATATTATATAAATTTATTTTTCATAGGATAAGGAAAAGAAAAATGTTTAACCTCCATAGTTTGATGAAAAGTCATTCTTGATTTTTGACCTTTTAGCAGATTTTAGAATATCATTTGCCTACTTTCACAATAAATATTAAGAAATTATACTTATATGAACCCAATGAAAAAGTGAGAAAATAAATTAAAAATTGATGATATTTGATTGATAAAAATCTTGTCACTAGAGACATGGAAAGATGCATCCATTCCATTGTAGCAAATAGTCAAAAGTGCAATTTTCATGTTATTTGCTGAGACACCACAAACCCTGGTTAATAAAATCAACATAAAGATCAATTGATGGATAGCAAAGTAATTGAGTGGTTAAATAGACGTTCGGACATAAAAAAAAAGGTTATGTTGGACAAAAAAATATTAGTACAGATATTAGAAAACATTGAAATTTTTAAAATGGAAAAAAAACCACCTCTCTTTTCCCTTCTCCAAGAATCCAAGATTAGAGATTCTCCAAACTAAATGTTGAGCTATATGTAAGGAAAACAAACTTTTAAACTCCACTTAATGTTTCCACACAGACTTTTTTTTTTCAAATGGACATGCATCACTAAATTTTGAACTTTCTTCGAACGCTAGAATATTTACTACCTACGCATATGATAAATATTTTGAAAATCACAATTCTATTTAATTAATTAACAATGAAACAAGAACCTATTAGAAATGAATAACATTTGATTAATACAAACCTTATCAATAGAGTCATCAAGACTAGTAGTGTTTTATTCATAGAAAAAAGTCATAGGGAATGATATTTACGCCATTTTCTGAGCCACAATAAAGCCTCATTAATAAAATCAACACAAACATTAGTTGATGGATATTTTCATTGTCTACAAGTATTTACAAAGTCAATGTATTGCATGTGCTTAAAAATATATCTTTTAATTTTATATTATTTTTACGTAAGCGCATGTGTGCGTGTGCGTGCTTGCGTTTGTGTGTGCGTATAAGAATGTGTCTATGCGCGTGAGTGTGTGGGTGTGAAAAAAAAATTACCTTTTTTTCGGCATCTTCGAGAATCTAGTCAAGGAGATACTCCTTGCCAATGGTAAATATACGTGCAATAAAAAACAACTCATTACTGAATTAATTTAAAAACTAAAAATATATTATATAAATTGTTTTTCATGGGATTAGGAAAAGAAAAATGTTTAACTTCCATAGTTTGATGAAAACTCATTCTAGATTTTTGACCTTTCAGCAAATTTTAGAATATCATTTGCCTACATTCAGAACAAAGATTAAGGAATTAAAATTATATGAACCCAATAAAAAAGGAATTAAATAAATTAAAAATCGATGATAGATGATTGATAAAAATATTTTAACTAGAGACATGGAAAGATGCATCCATTCCATTGTAGCAAATAGTCAAAAGTGCAATTTTCATGTTATTTTCTCACTCAACACAAAACCTGGTTAATAAAATCATCATAAAGATCAATCGATGAATAGTAAAGTAATTGAGTTGTTAAGTAGGTGTCTGGACAAAAATAAAAAGGTTACGTTGGACAAAAAAAATATTAATAGAGATATTAGAAAAAATAGAAATTTCGAAAGTGGAAAAAATTCACCTCCCTTTTCCCTTCTCTGAGAATCCAAGCTTGAGTTTCTCCAAGCCAAATGTTGAGCTATATGTAACCAAAACCAACACATTGTAAAAGTAATTTCAAAATAAGTATATTAATCAAATTTAATTTTTCAAATGAGAAGGAAAAGAATATTGTTTAACCTCCGCATAATGTTTCCACACAGTTATGATAAATTATGAACTTTCTACAAACTCTAGAATATTTACTACCTTAAAATATGATAAATAATTTAAAATCACAATTATGATTAATAAATTTAAAAGTGAAACAAAAACCAATTAGAAATAAATAACATTTGATTGATATAGACCTTATAAATAAAGTCATCGAGACTAGAAGTGTTTCCTTTATAGAAAAAAGTCACAGGCATAACGTTTATGCCATTTTCCGAGCCACAATGAATCCTCAAAAATACAATCAACACATAGGTGTGGGTGCGGGTGTGCGGGTGTGTGCACGTGTAGGTGTGGGTGCGGGTGTGTGTGAAAACAAATTACCTTGTTTTTCACTTCTCCAAGAATCTAGTTAAGGAGATGTTACTTCCCAATGGTAAATCTACGTGCAATAAAAAACAACACATTACTGAAAGAATTTGAAAACGAACAATATATTATATAATATATTTTTCATAGCATAAAAAAAGAAAAATGTTTAACCTCCATAGTTTGATGAAAAGTCATTCTTCATTTTTGACCTTTCACCAAATTTTAGAATATCATTTGCTTACATTCACAACAAATATTAAGATATTTACAATTATATGAACTCAATTAAGAGGTGAGAAAATAAATTAAAAATCGATGATATTTAATTAATAAAAATCTTGTCACTAGAGACATGAAAAGATGCATTCACTCCATTGTAGCAAATAGTCAAAAGTGCAATTTTCATGTTATTTTCTGAGCAACCACAAACCCTGGTTAATAAAATCAACATAAAGATCAATCGATGAATAGTAAAGTAATTGAGTGGTTAAGTAGGAGTTCGGACATAAAAAAACGGTTACATTGGACAAAAAAATGTTAGTAGGGATATTAGAAAACATAAAAATTTTGAAAGTGGAAAAAAATTCACCTCTTTCCCCTTCTCCGAGAATCCAAGAATAGAGATTCTCCAAGCCAAATGTTGAGATATATGTAACAAAAACGAACACATTGTAAAAATAATTTCAAGATGAGCAAAATATTAATCAAATTTAATTTTTCAAATTAGAAGGAAATGAAAATTGTTTAACCTCCGCTTAATGTTTTCACACAGACTTTTTTTCGGATTGAAATGCATCACTAAATTGTAAACTTTCGACAAACACTAGAATATTTACTGCCTACGCATATGATAAATAATTTGAAAATCACAATTCTGTTTAATTAATTTAACAATGAAACAGAAACCTATTAGAAATGAATAACATTTGATTAATACAAACCTTATCAATAGAGTCATCGAGAATAGTAGTGTTTCCTTCATAGAAAACGTCATAGGCATAATGTTTAAGCCATTTTTCCGAGCCACAATAAATCCTCATTAATACAATCAACACAAACATTATTTGATGGATATATTCATTGTTTACAAGTATTTACAAAGTCAATTTACTGCATTTGAATATATCTCTTAATTTTTAATTCTTTTAAAGTAAGTGTGTGCACGCGTGCGTGGTGTATGTGTGCGCGTGGGTGTGTGTAAAAACAAATTTACCTTGTTTCCGCTTCTCCAAGAATCTAGTCAAGGAGATGTTACTTCCCAATGGTAAATCTACGTGCAATAAAAAACAACACATTACCGAAAGAATTTGAAAACGAACATTATATTATATAAATTTATTTTCATAGGATAAGGAAAAGAAAAATGTTTAACCTCCATAGTTTGATAAAAAGTCATTCTTGATTTTTAACCTTTCAGCAAATTTTAGAATATCATTTGCTTACATTCACAACAAATATTAAGATATTACAATTATATGAACCCAATTAAAAGGTGAAAAAATAAATTAAAAATCGATGACATTTGATTAATAAAAAATATTGTCACTAAAGACATGGAAAGATGCATTCACTCCATTGTAGCAAATAGTCAAAAGTGAAATTTTCATGTTATTTTCTGAGCCACCACAAACCCTGGTTAATAAAATAAACATAAAGTTCAATGGATGGATAGTAAAGTAATTGAGTGGTTAAGTAGGAGTTCGGACATAAAAAATCGGTTACATTGGACAAAAAAATGTTAGTAGGGATATTAGAAAACATAGAAATTTTGAAAGTGGAAAAAAATTCACCTCTCTTTCCCCTTCACCAAGAATCCAAGAATAGAGATTGTCCAAACCAAATGTTGAGATATATGTAACAAAAATGAACGCATTGTAAAAATAATTTCAAGATGAGCAAAATATTAATCAAATTTAATTTTTCAAATGAGAAGGAAATGAAAATTGTTTAACCTCCGCTTAATGTTTCCACGCAGACTTTTTTCCGAATGGACATGCATCACTAAATTTTAAACTTTCTACAAATGCTATAATATTTACTGCCTACGCATATGATAAATAATTTGAAAATCACAATTCTGTTTAATTAATTTAACAATGAAACAAAAACCTATTAGAAATGAATAACATTAGATTAGTACAAACCATATCAATAGAGTCATCGAGACTAGTAGTGTTTCCTTCATAGAAAAAAGTCATAGGCATAATGTTTAAGCCATTTTTTCGAGCCACAATAAATCCTCATTAATACAATCAACACAAACATTAGTTGATGGATATATTCATTGTCTACAAGTATTTACAAAGTCAATGCACTGCATTTGCTTAATTATATGTCGCTTAATTTTATATTCTTTTAAAGTAAGCGTGCGCACGCGTGCGTGGTGTGTGTGCGCGCGTGGGTGTGTATGGGTGTGCGCCTGTGTGTGTAAAAACAAATTTACCTTGTTTTTCGCTTCTCTAAGAATCTAGTCAAGGATATGTTACTTCCCAATGGTAAATCTACGTGCAATAAAAAATAACACGTTACTGAAAGAATTTGAAAACGAACAATATATTATATGACTTTATTTTTCATAGGATAAGGAAAAGAAAAATGTTTAACCTCCATAGTTTGATGAAAAGTCATTCTTGATTTTTGACCTTTCACCAAATTTTAGAATATCATTTACTTACATTCAAAACAAATATTAAGATATTACAATTATATGAACCCAATTAAAAGGTGAGAAAATAAATTAAAAATCGATGATATTTGATTTATAAAATCTTGTCACTAGAGACATGGAAATATGCATTCACACCATTGTAGCAAATAGTCAAAAGTGCAATTTTCATGTTATTTTTTGAGCCACCGCAAAACCTGGTTCATAAAATCAACATAAAGATCAATCGATGGATAGTAAAGTAATTGAGTGGTTAAGTAGGAGTTCGGACATAAAAAAATCGGTTACATTGGACAAAAAAAATTTAGTAGGGATATTAGAAAACATAGAAATTTTGAAAGTGGGAAAAAATTCACCTCTTTTTCCCCTTCTCCGAGAATCCAAGAATAGAGATTCTCCAAGCCAAATGTTGAGATATATGTAACAAAAACGAACATATTGTAAAAATAATTTCAAGATGAGCAAAATATTAATCAAATATTATTTTTCAAATGAGAAGGAAATGAAAATTGTTTAACCTCTGCTTAATGCTTCCACGCAGACTTTTTTCCGGATGGACATGCATCACTATATTTTAAACTTTCTACAAACGCTAAATTTTTTTATGCCTACGCATATGATAAATAATTTGAAAATCACAATTCTGTTTAATGAATTTAACAATGAAACAAAAACCTATAAGAAATGAATAACATTTGATTAATACAAACCTTATCAATAGAGTCATCGAGACTAGTAGTGATTCCTTCATAGAAAAAAGTCATAGGCATAATGTTTAAGCCATTTTTCCGAGCCACAATAAATCCTCATTAATACAATCAACACAAAAATTAGTTGATGGATATATTCGTTGTCTACAAGTATTTATAAAGTCAATGTACTGCATTTGCTTAAAAATATATCTCTTAATTCTATATTCTTTTAAAGTAAGTGTGCGCACGCGTGCGTGGTGTGTGTGTGCGCGTGGGTGTGTGTGGGTGTGTGCGCTTGTGTGTAAAAACAAATTTACCTTGTTTTCCTCTTCTCCAAGAATCTAGTCAAGGAGATGTTACTTCCCAATGGTAAATCTACGTGCAACAAAAAACAACACATTACTGAAAGAATTTGAAAACGAACAATATATCATATAACTTTGTTTTTCATAGGATATGGGAAAAAATGTTTAACCTCCATTGTTTGAT